AAGAAGTGGCCTGTCACTAGAAGCTGGAAAGCATAGATGTGGTCTGCATCGACTTCAGTAAAGCTTCTGACAAGGTCCCTCTCAACAACTATTCTCTAAGCCTCGCGGAATTGCCATAACAGGGAACCTCCTACTATGGATCAGTGACTTCTTGCAACGCCGGAAAATGCAAGTCAAGGTAAACGAAACCCTTGCATTTCCAGTGCATATATCCAGTGGCGTACCACAAGGCTCCGTCGTCGAACCAAGTCTGATACAAACGGACTGGTCTGACCTATGCAGACGACCGCAAGCTAAGTGTCCAACCTCGAAGACGCCACTCAGGAAAAGAACCTGGGGACAATAGTATCCTCCGACCTCAAAATTACCCCTGACACAATAAAGAAGACTGCTGCGGCGAAAAAGATGTGGTGCGTCATAAGGAGATCATTCTCTAAAATGACGCTACAGATATTCAGACTTATCTTACCTCCCACATCCGTCCAATCCTTGAATGCGGGCTTCCGGCCATAGAATCACTATCGAAGCATGAAAGTGTCAAGGTTGAAAAAGTTCAGCGACAAGACTCGAAATTTGTCCTTTGGCTACGCGAACTCCAGCACGGGTACAGAAGATGAACCTTTTCCCCTTAGACTACCGCCGACGTCGCGAATACCTCATCCATACCAGGCGTTTTCTGAGGAGCGTTGTGAAAAGAGCTAAGTCGGTTTTTCAGGTAAGACTTGGCAGTTCAACTGGAGGTCACAGCTAGGAGCTTTTAAACCGAGGATGTTCAAAGTCCGTTCGGACGTTGCTCTCTCTACTCGAGTAATTAATGACTGTAAGACACTGCCAATGCGCAGTCATAAGTGAATTGCAAACGTTTGCTAGACATCCTCCTACTGAGTACTCCGGGATTATGCAGGACTGACACTACGTCCCGATCTATGCCACAGCTACCCCGACTGCAATCCTTGGAAGATCGGGAAGTGAAAGAGCTGACACAGGACTACCCTTCTGCTCTCCATCATCCAAGGGAAAAATAAGACAACAGCTGCTGTACTAAACCACGCAGTACATTTTCGGCTAAATTAAGTTCAATTTACGTGGGACTGGAACAATATATTGAAGCCCATAGGTGTTATATTTTGAGCCGACTTGCTGATGGAGCATTGATTGAATAACAGTTATACGAAAAACGACTTTGTCAGTTACTCTTGTGATCCAAAAGGATTTGCAAGTCCCTTCGTGTAGGGAATCCGTCATCTGTGCGACAATCTGATCAATCCAGAAAACGATGATAACGAGCTTCGAGGTCTTGATGAACCGAAAACGAAACATCCGAACAAATTAATATCCACGTTTCCTGCACTAGCAATCCAGGTTGCACCGGCCACGAGAAGTAAGGAAGAGAGGAAGAAAAGGTAGGTAAATGGGAAAGAAAATCACTTAAATGGAGGGTAATACCAATGAGTGAAGAAAAACATGAAAATTAAGACTGGAGTAGCGAGCCGGATGCGTTAGGAGAAAGCAAAGACTTCGTAATGTCATCCACGAGCGTCTAACTGGCACTCAAAACCCATAACCGTAGGCTCAATGATTATACCTGGAAGCGAGTGCAAACGCACGATAACTCTACGCGATAACCGAGTTTCTACTCTGATCCGGTCGGAACGCGGTTTGTGTGGCATCATGGGATGACCGCGAAAAGAAGATAATAGACGGTAAGTGAGAATCAGGTCTCCTCGAAGCCGTCGGTAGCGCATTGAATACATACCCAAACTAAGAAGACACTCGGGTATGTTTGCCATCGTAAACCCTTTCGAGTTCCATTTTGCAAGGAACGAGGCAAAACGGGCAAGCCAAGACGCAGCATTCCTAAAGAGGCCGAAAGAAAACTTAGAATAGCTTCACAAAGATATCGGCAGTTAAGACACTGAAGCAACATGGTAATAACCACATTCAGAAAGCCTTATTAGTGGCATTCTTCAAGTTGTCGCCCGTATGCAACGTCGTGGAATAGAAGACACATAGGTCAGCTTGCTTAGAGACAAGATGGAGTTTGACCCCACCGAGTATGTACCTCGAAGCTGGAAGGAAGGTTGCTCCCATACGAATAATGGAACACTTATTATTAACGGGTTGCAGCCACAAAGTCTATCCAGGGAAGGTACAATGGCCTTAGGAACTCCAAGAACATGTACAATATTCCAAAACAAGGTAATAATGATGATACCCTGAACTCCCCAGGGAGATCGTTTACATAAATGGGGAACAGCATCGCTCCATGGACCGAGCCCTGCGCGACATCGCTTCACTGCCCTCTTCCTTGCAAGAATGCAGGCACCCAGTGAAGAGCGTGTCCAGGTACACGGTCAGACTTTAGCTATTGTGATAGCCTCAAGCGGGGTATGGTGTCAAATGCTTTCGAGAAGTCGACGAAAAGCACGTTCAGTAGGTGTTCATTGCTAACTGCTTAAGCCTAACTCTCGTTAGCTACCAACAAATCAGTCAGACACAAAAACTCCTCCCGGAATTCTTGCTGTGCACAACTGAGTAGACGAAATCTATTCGGGTGACACTTCAACAGATGCGCCAGCAGATTTTCAAGTAGTTCAACTACGACGATAGTCGGACTTATTGGCCAATAATAGGCATATAACAACCTACTTCCATCCAGAAGGTAATGCACAGCTGCCGAGTGAATTCTGAAAAGCCACCGCGTACGGTTTACTTGGTTCCGCTTTTAACTCATGAACAAGTCTCAGGTGAATTAAATCAGGTCCGGCTGTTTTGGAAAGGTTGGGTTCTTGTGGCTGACTAAGGACTCACGTTTCCACCGCAGCAAAGTAAACGAAATATAAACCCTACGGGACTCTGAATACAAGTGCAACAATATTCAACGCGGCCTCCCGCACAAAAAACCCCTGCAAACCCACTATCAAGAACGCAAGCCTTAGCAGAATCTGCAAACGCATGAGTTCCACCTGTACGCACCAGTTAAAATTGCGGAATTTGAACCACAGCGCTTGACATAAGCAAAGAACCTCTTCGGATCTTCTGAGGCTCCATCAGCCAACCATCTTCCTTACACCAGCCGAGCTTTCCTCAGATGTTGTTTACATCGCCAGCCTTGTGGTACCTATCATAGGCGTTAGCTGATGGAGCCACACGGTAGGTCCTCTAGCACCTAGAACGTTCCTGGAGCAGGTACCTTCTATGGATGTCTATGCACGGGGCTGTGATCGTGTCGTTTCTGCTCGGAAGGTGCAGAAATTTACGAGAGAAAACTTAAATATATCATAGGCTGCGTGAAGACTATCGGCCACCGAGATTTCACAACGCAAACTTGAAGCCTTTGTACGCATGGCTTGATAGTTCGTACGCCATATGTTTGGATATGGCTCAAGGATGCTGTCATGACGCCAGGACAGGGCATAGCCGTATGATAAACAAACATTATCACTGCCACCTAAACGAGAGTGATTAAGCGAAAACAAAGTCAGGCGACCTCAGAGTTGTTCACTCAACAGCTGCGCCATGCCACTCAAATGGAAGGAAACTGTGATCTGCAAGATTTTCAATTGCGATACGGGTTATTCATAGGCGTCAGATTGACAAACGTGGTGATTAAATTACTTAGTGATTGGTAAGAAATTCAATGGAGAACCACTTGGCTAAATTTAACTTGCTTAGAGACACACAACACGGATCTGTATGTTCAACGAATTTACTGTTAGCTTGTGAAAGTTAGACTGAAGGTGTAGACAATAAAATACGCAGCTTATTGACTTCACCAAGACAGTTGTGACTGTCCCCCATTCGTGGCTTTCACTAAAGTTACGGTCCTACGGTATGTCTGGTTACGTCACGAACCTTCTTTTACAGATGGATGTTTAATGCGTAGCGAAAAATTTGTGGCTCCTCGGAGCTTGAGACAAAAGACCATGCTATGTGCTCACGACAGTCACCCTGGTATTGTTCGTACGAAAAGCAAGGTTGAGGCATGGTCCTGGTGGCCCAGCATGTCACACGAAATAGAAAAACATGTTCATGCCTGCTCTTCATGTCAAACGGCAGACAAGAGTTCAAGGCCGGTTTCATTCTCTATACAACCCATTGACTATGCTTTGCGACCGTGGGCCAAGATAGCGCTTGACATCATGGGTCCTATAAAATATATCTGGTTGCGCTCTTCAGTGGGTGTCAGTTTGGTAGATAGATCAATTTGTACGTGTGGAAAAGTAAAGGCAGGCGTCAGTAATACGCCGGTACGCAGTACTAACGCTACGCTGTCGCGAGACCATTAACGGTGGCACGCGGGCTGAGAATACTGCAAGAGTCGCTCGGTCCAACGCAGGCACGAACCCACGCCCTCGGATTACAAGGCAGACTTGTTATTTTTCTAGGGTACATGCCGACGTGAGAAGCATTCTTTTCAAGTATCTGTCCTTAGCGCCGTATCGGACAGCTGTTCTAGGGTTGCTGCTGTTAAGTCTACGTAAATGACTTAGTTGGGGAGCTTCAAGTGCCATCGAACTAATTGGTTGGTGACCAAAAGCACTGGAACTTAGTGGGTGGCTTAAGGTCTTCAACAGGTTCTGGATACTCTGGGATAGTCCTGTCTTGTGATTTGTGCTTATAAACCGGACAATGTTCAGTGCTGCGTATCAGAGCGCCCGATTTCTCAACAAGTTTTTCAATATCACACATAAAAGATAATGACCAGTAGGCAAAGAACGGCATATCAGGACAGAACACGTCATTTACATTCGTATCAACATTTTGTCCCTGCAATTGACCAAAAGCACGCCCAAATGGGACGGCTGGCCGTCCATCTGAGCGAACAGAAGATTCGCTCAAGAGAGATTAGTTGATGGATTTTCGTCTCGTGCCAACTCTATACAAAATAATTTAAGCGACGATCAAAGGCACGAAGAACCACAGTTAGGCAAATTTAAATGGCCAGCCCCGTAGTTCCAACAATGATTGTGCGACCACGTGGAGTAGGGTTTTAGTTTAAATAACCGAGGCTACTAACTCGATGTCACAGTAGCAGACAAAAAGGCCGGCAAGGCAAACAAAATGCTAAAAATAAGGACCGCGCTCCAACAGAATTGGTTGCAGACATCGTTGTGTGACAGCCAAAGCATAAAATATGAACTGCGTGATTTGAAGTAACTCTCAACGACGAGTACATCGCTAACAAGTTGACAGTTGTACTTCGCACGAGTCTACCGAATTGCTGCAAATTTGACTTTCCCGATCAGAATACAAAAACGAGGCGAAAACAGTAGTATGTACAAGTAGGTTTACAACAGTCTACATCGTTTCCTGCTTCATACGCTTCGGAGTAGGTGTGCTTTGCTTGTTTTCGTCAACGTTGTTCTCAAACTTGCGCTTGATTCCTGAAATCCGAGGCTTAAACTGAAAAGAAGTAATAAACTAACAGATAACGTACTGTTCCGGCTTCCAACTGCTTCAAACGGTTTTCTAGATATGCTCTACTCCGCAAGCCCATTTCTGTATCAGCCCCCTCTTCTCCTAACGCGTCTAATCGAGCAGACAAAGAGGCCTTTGCCGCCAACATCCGGGACATTTTGCCCTTGAGCTTTGCGTCTGCTTGGTTGATCAATGCGGCGTGATAGAGCAACCCATACTTTGGTGTGTTCTGATGACTTTTCAAGGCTCGAAAGAGTGCCTTCTCCGCTCCGAGAATTTGTACCGTAGATGACGGGTGCTTGGCTAAGTTGACAAGGGTACCTGCGCGGGCAATGAGCCTAGCACCCAGTAGTTCACCGACCAGTGAGGTCAAATTAGGAGCTACAGCAATCATGCGTTTCATGAGATAGTCTTGAAGATGGGTCCGCGATTCGGAGATTTCTAAGACCTGGTCACAGAGGCCATTTATCATTTCTATGTCTTCGTCGGTAACCTCAGTCCCGAGGGATACTATAGCTGCTTCACGGAGCTGTGAAGCCACGTCGTCTGTGACAAGATCAGATAAGTCGACAGACGCGTTCTCACGATGGCCTAACGTAGTGAAATAAGTAAAAGTGCATTACCTATACGCTTTACGACCTTGACATAGACCATGTTATCCTGGACTATTTTTGACACCTCCGGAAAATGCCATCCGTACATCTCTTTCGTACGCATCACATAATTGTTGACTTCTTTGTCAAGTTCATCAAGCAAGCCTAGTGAAAAACGTCATTAAAAATGCAAACTTACCTACAGCCTGCACGATCATAGTATCGATTTTATCCGGATTGCATTTCAGCTTGTACCTGTCCAGACTGTGAGCCAAGCCAAGACGCATCCTGGTCATGTGATCCTCTTCCACGACTGGCAACAGGGCTTCTAGGTGACAGCGAATTGCACGCATGAGGTTTTGAACAGCCGAGTCGCACGCTGTTGGAATATTAAGTTTGGACTGTCGAATAACGGACTAAACAAGGAACTCACTGAAATGTCGATGGACAATTTTCTGTCAGCAACTGCGAGGATATCATCACGGAGCTCCTTTACGTACAGCTTCTTTAGCAGCTTCTTCAGACGCTTTGAAACGCGGCCTTCCACAACGTCAGCGACAGCTGGAATGAAAAAATTCAATTATATGAATGCAAATAAAGTATTAAATCAGATGGATGAATATCGGTCACGTGGCAAATACGAGACTCTAGTCCAAATCTCATCACACTTTATAAAAGTAACACTGGGACGTACCAGCCAGAGCGTCATTGGTGTCTTTGAACTGCACGAACTTCTCCAAAGTTATTCTAAAGGAAATAACTAATGCCCAAAGAACCTACAGCTGATTCATAGTGGCAGTATCTTCAAAGGCTTTACACAAATCCGAAACCTCCATTGCGCCTTTCTCATCGTGAAGTTTAAAGACAGCATATCCAGCAGCAGTCTCGAACAGAACAAGCATGGCTTGCACTCTGACAGTGTAATATGCGTCCGGTGAGTCGTGATAGACCGAGGGAGCTGAAAAGCGAAAGGGAGAGATCGTAGGCGGATAGACAGTAACATCTTAACCACCTAATAAAAGTCGTAGCTGGATTGAAGGTGTGCCTGTGTAAAACCTCGTGGCGAGCTGGACGGTATTGTCACAGTTGATGTTGGAGGACCGCGCGTGAGGTGACACTATATATATATATATATATATATATATATATATATATATGTATATATATACATATATATATATATTTGACGGCAGCCGGTTTCGGATTTGCCAGTCACTGTGGCCAGCCACAAGACGCCTGTTAACAGACATTGAGCCATCGGAACCATGGCAGAAAAAATAAGCGGACAAGATAGAAATACTAACTGCGATAAAGAAAATGGAAAACGATTTGTTGGGTTTACACACGCCATTTTGTTTTGTGTGTATTAAAAGGGAGATATATTGGCAGAACAACATAGACATCACTGATGTCTGTTGCGGGCCATGAAGTCCAATGTTTCCAACCACTGAGATTCAGCATCTCGTGGTCCCCAACCTGGAAGACGGACTGGTCCGACTGTCGCCAAACTTGAGGTCGCCTTCTTCATGCTCCATTGGCTGTCCACCGCGGCACTTTTTCCGGTCGCTACCTGGGAGTGCAAATAGCGCTCGTTATGGAAGGCGATGGGATGGCATGGGCAAAATGTGCCCGAGCCAACACACGCGATGTCGGAAAATAACGTCCTGAAGACTGGCACTACTCGCTCCAAGCACTCGATCTCGCACCTCTGCGTCGCTTACGTGGTGGTTCCACCACACCCGAGCAATCCTTCGTAGACAGCGATTGTCGAAGACTGACAGCCGCTTCATGTCTTCCCAGCGAATGGGCAAAGTCTCACAGCCGTAAAAAAGTACTGCACAGACGGAAGCATTGTACACCCTGCCCTTGAGCATGAGACTGACATCACGACGACGCCATAGGTGTCTCAGTTTGATGAAGGCAAGGCGGGCCTTTGCAATCCGTTGTGAGACTTCATCTCCAACACTATCACCAGCCGTGATACAACTCCCTAAATAAGTAAAGCAAAGGACTTGCTCCAGAAGATGTCCAGCAATGGTGAGCGCGCGTTCAGGCACATGTTAGTCCTGGAGCAGCGTTTTACATTTTCCAGGAGTGAAGCATAAGCCGCACTTAGACGCCTCTATCGTTATGCGGTCCAAAGGGCTCTGAACGGTTTGTGGGTCGCCCCCAGCAAGGCGATATCATCAACGTAGTTCAAGTCCGTGATTCTGTCTCCTGGGAGGAGCGCAACACCGAAGTTCTGGACATCTTCCAGTGCTCTTTGGACAACAGCTGCGATGGCGAAAGTGAAGAGCAAAGGTGAAATAGGGCAACCTTGGTGAACACGGCCGGTCACAGCAAACGAAGAGAGCGTGCCGTAAGCCCTGACTTTGCCCGACGTGTGACTGTAAAGTTCTTTGAGGATGGCGACAAATTTGTCGGACACACCTCTCTTCAGTAAACAGTTCCAAAACACAGATCTACTGAATCAAATATCGCTCGGATGACTAAGAACACTACGATTGCTGGCCGCCGGTGGATGTGACGAAGTTCAAGAACTTGCCGAAGCGTGAAAAGTTGGTCGATGCAGCCGCGGCTTGGACGAAATCCGGCTTGTTCTTCTCGGGAAAACTCCTCTCTAGTCGTTGAAAGCCTGCGAAGTAGAACCGACACGAAGATTTTGCATGCGACAGAGATCAACGAGACTCCGCGGTAGTTACAGCAATCGGCGCCGGAGCCTTTCTTGTGTACAATGATTGATTCTCCCCATGAGTTCGGAACCTTCTCCTCAGTCCAAACTTTCGTGAACAGTGATAGGATTTCGCTGACAAGTACACTCTTACCATCTTTAAATAGAGCCGGCGGTAGGCTGTCGGGACCCGGAGCCTTGTGGCGTTTCAAAGATTGCATTGCATCTCGGATCTCTGCTTCATTGGGGGGGGGGAGTGTGGAGACAGGCCAAGAATCATCCACTGGAGCTGGAGGTGCCACAGGGGTGGTTGAATTGAAGAGCGAAATGCCCTGCCCAGCGACCCAATCGCCTGTGAAGGTTGGTGATCTTCGTGCCGTCTGATTCGCAAATCGTCTGGCTGATAGCGTGGGAATTGCAACCAGTGGCCTTGATGATGCAAAATAGACGGTGGAAGTTGCCAGCGGCTTCCATCTTATCAACTTGTTTTGACCACCAAGATTCACGATCAGAGCGAAGGCTTACTTTCAGCTGAACGGCGGTGTACGTTGTACTCTGCGCCAGCAGGCACCGCCCGTCGGCGATCCAGCAATTCCGAGGACCTTCCCGTGATCCAGCTTTAGGGGGTGGAACGAGCGTGGCCACAGATGGCAAACCGGCCGACAGCAAGGATTTTTGCAGACTTGACCAGTGTTGATCAACATCCAGAAATTGAGAGAGCGAGATTTTCATCAAGCCTCTGTTGATACTCTTTCTTCACCTTTGGGTCCTTCAACTTGTAGGTGTAAAGTGGGGTGAGTTTTGACCTAGGTGAACCACCGAAACGCATGCAAACGGTCGCACATAGCAGTGCATAATCGGTATCGACGCATGTTGACCAAAATGATCGGCAGTCGCGTACGCTGGGTCGCCACTTGCGATTTATGGATATGTGGTCAATCTGTGAGCAGCGCTGGGTTAATGATGGGGGGCACCAAGTGGCATACTAGCGTCTAGAGCGTGTGAATGGTTGTGGTTGTAAGTCCATGGTTCGTCAGTGGGCGTGATACTACAAGGTTGCCCAGGCCGAAGTAGAGGGTTATCTTCGGGGGCCCCATCCCGAGCCTTTGATCAAGGGTCTAACCTACAAGGCAGCAGGGCGATATAAGGGTATCGCAACCCGTTGGGAGCCAGTGACCACAAGTCGTTCATACGCCTTTAGGACCGCATAGAAACAGGGGCCCAACACACCCTTGGATTAGAATGCCACTCAGAGAGAGGCAAGGGGCAGTGACTTTATTTAGTGGCGAGTCATCCGCCACGTCAGTGTTGCTAAATGAATATATGTAGCTTTCTATGGGGAGAAGGCTTGCCAGGCGAAAATCCACCACGTTCTGGAACACTGCCGTCGAACCATTCGATGGAACGGGATAATCCCGAACCACCCAGCTGGCACCACGAGTTGTTCGGCAAGTCAGCCGAGGTGACTTGATGGATGAGGTGAAAATACGCACGCGAGATGGCTGCTCTAACGATACTGAAAAGAGGAAACGACAATCACAATATAGGCTATGCTCGACATCTTACTTGTTGACTTGTTATAACGACACTCCTACGCGCTACGTTATCTCCTTCTTATGAGGCGCTGTCCTCAGTGCCTACAGAAGCCCTGACCAGTATCAACCTGCTGACGCACATAAAAATTGGTGAGCGCTGTGATAAACTCGGACGACTCCGCGTGAAGGAATGCTAGTGATGGCTGTAAAGACCGCAGCCCTGGCAGGGTCGCCAAGCATGTACTATGCGTCTGATCGAGGGTTCCCAGTGCTTCTGTGCCGCGGGCGTACGACGGTCGTAATAGACCGAGAGGGCTGAAAGCAAAAGAGTTCGTAGACGGCTGGACAGTTACATAACAACCATCTAGTAAGAGTCGGAGCAGGACTGAGGGTGTGTCTGTGTTACACCTCGTGGCGAGCTGGACGGTATTGTCACAGCTGATGATGGAGGACCGCGCGTGAGGTGATTTGATGGATGACGTGAAGACACGCACACGAGATGACTGCTTTGACGGAATGGAAAGGCAAAGATAAAGGAAACGACAGTAACATTGTAGGCAAAGCTCGACGACATCTAAATGTTGACTTGCTACTGTGGCACCTAAACGCACCACACGCTGTAGCAAGCGTCCGGTCGAGGATTCCGAGGGCTTCCGTGTCCAGTGTGTACGTAGGTCGTAGGAGACCCGGGAAGCTGAAATGAAAAGAAAATACCTCGTAGGTGGCTAGATACTCATATGATAACCACATAGTAAGAGACCACTAAACCAAAAGTAAAAGTGAATAGAAGAGGACGTAGCAATGACCGTCTACGCGAGGTACAACGATCTCCTTATCTTAAGGATCACTACAAGATCACGCTCAGACAAGCTACATTAACTCATCCTGTTGACAGGCGCTGTCCTCAGTGTTTACAGTAATAATAAAAATATATAATGCGTCAGCTGTACGCTGTACCAGCGCTTCACTGCCACGCAAGCACGTCGCGCGCGGGCTGAATGTATCGCGATGACGCCCACCCCTACGCGGATTAGAAACGGTGAACTAATGAACGCAAACCAAGTGCACAGGCCACCGGCCGGCATCGCCTACAGTAGCACTAGTCGGTCTCGACCTGCTGATGTGAGCACGATGTGCTCGGTTCGAGAGATTCAGTGACAAGCAATGTGGTCACAGGAAAGTCAATGATAGCCTCAAGGGCAATGATCCAGCTTTAGCGACTGCTGTCGAGAGCAGGCAGGATCGCACAGAATGTAATGTGCGTCTGGTTAACGATCTGCTGATGTGCGAAACAAGTGATGAGCAAAATGTGCTAGGTTAAAGAAATTTCGCGACAAGCAGTATGGTAAGAAAGTTAATGGTCGCTTCAAAGGGCAACGATAAAGCTTCACGGACTGCTGTCGGGAACGAACAGGATCGCTAAATATGTAGTTTGCATCCGGTCGAGGATTCCGAGTCCAGTGGGTACGTAGGTCGTAACAGACCTGGGGAGCCACAATGAAAGGCAAACAGGTCAGGTCAGTTCCTGAGGAAGATACAGGTTTTCGACTGACGAGGGTCCCGCTTCTTGCACCGGTAAGCGTGCGAGGCCCCCAGCACTTCGACGCTACAATGAGACTCCGTAGTACTGTGAAAAAATGAAATGAGAACGAGAGCAAGTTGGTACTCTTGTTTTATTAAGATTAGAGTAATTCAGCAAAACGATCTGACCAACATTTATCTAGGCCACGTATGAAGACTTCTATAGTTTAAA